GCAAGAGAGGGATGCATGGGGGGAGGGGGCGAGTGAAGGGAGGAAAGGGAAGGGGAAATACTCTCTGAAATGAAACAAAAATGCACACCACCAATAGTGAAGGAAATGGAAAGAATATTCCAGAAACTGAAGCAATCACCTAGCAATGGCGGGACCTGCTCTACTTGGTTCAAATGAAGAGATAGGAGTAGAGCCGGTCAGCGTCAGGGCAGAAAGCATGGGTGCCGCAAAGCTTAGCTGAACCCAGCTGCAGGGAGAGGTTCAAAAACGGCAGGATAACGAGGGCCCCAGGGTCCCAAGCTTCAGAGGCCTAGCGAGAAACAAAGCAGTTTCTGGAACCAAAGACAGTGGGAAAGAGGACTGTCTTTCCCAGCAAGAAAATGGCCACAAGTAGAAAAAGGTTTTGATTAATGCAGGGTTGAGGGGTTGGGGGCTATGGATCTTGAAAGACTTGAGGGGAGAGAGTAAATATGATCAAAATGTATGAAATTCTCAAAGAATCGGTGTTTGAAATGTTAAAAACCAGGCCCAGGGATCAGTACTGTCAGCGACTCCTTACAGCGCTTCCCATTGGTGGAGCAGAGAGCTCACTGGGGCGGGGTGCCAATGGAATCCAGGAGAATTCTTTTCAGCAAGGGCTCCCTTAAGAATTCTGTAGTGATGACTAAGCAAGGAGATAGGAGAGGGGAAAATCAAATAGGAATTTGGAAAAGATGGACTGAAACACAGAGGTCAAAACACCCTTTATGTCTTGAAAATACACATTCGATCTGCAGGATTTCACAGGAACATCAACCACCATGTGAGGTTTAAACAGACTTTAGATATTTCTAAGCTTCCCTCTGGTTTCAGAGACAATGGCACTGCTTTCAAGGTCGTTTTATACTCTCTTGGTTTTGGAAGATCCTCTCCTTAGTTGAAGAAACGTGTGAAAAGGAACCCACCCTAAAGGGAGCGGATTGGTCTGCACGTCTGGTCTGCCTTTGGAGGCATTTGATAAACCCATTATTTTCATTCTTGCAGGTGTGTCAGCCCAAAAGTACTTTTCACCGGAGGAAGGCACTGTTTGTGGTCCTCAGTCCTTAATCCCAGGTGCTGTGTTTATAGTTGTCCCTAAACAAAGTGAAACCCAGTCACCTCCCTTCATCAAGAGGAAGTCTTGCTATTTGATGGCAATATTAGCTTCAGTGACTACTGACAGTACATCGGACCTGACCTTGTCTGTGGCTTCCTGCTTCAGGTCTACAGAAACCTAGTCTATTTCTTCCTGAAGATTCTGGTATTGCTTGGGCTTTGCTTTAATCCACATTTAAATGTCATGTCACCTTCTGAGGTCCTTTGGGGAAGGACATGCTGTGTTAATTATTATGAGGTGACTTTTGAGTTCTCAATAACTTATTAGAACACACTGTCTTCCAGATTTGATCAGATGGTTAGATACCGATCAAATCAGTGTTGGGAAGCCCCGGAAATATCCATCTTGTGTTGTGTTCAACAGCAACCAACTAACCAAATACCCATCATGTGTCGGGTTCCTACTGTCCTGGCTCTGTCACGTCCATTCTGTCATTTTATCTTCCTGACAGCTCTTTGAAATGGATATTATAATCCACAGCTCACAACAGGCAAATCAGAGACTCAAAAACTGCAAGCAGGGTGCCTACAGCCCACTGAGGGTGGAGGAAACAGGACTCCCCCCTCCCGGGTCTGAAGCCTGAAGCGGGTGCTGTTGAGAAACTGAAAAACTGAACTTTCTGATTTTTGGTAAAAGAGTCAAATATGTGTAAAAGGATCTTTTTGTTTTTAATATGACATTAGCTATGTGGATGACCAACAGCATGGGGTGAAGAGGGATAGAAATGGATTCCTTTAGTCTTGCTGTTAAAGAGACACTTCAATTTTAAGCAATGATTTCTTGCCTCCCTTCTTCCCCATGTACTTTGTCTTCGTTAACTAAGGAATACACACATGAGCACAGGCTGCTAGACACAGCCCCCTTTCCCCTGAGCACCCCCCGAACTTGCTTTGTTCTACTTCCTTGTGGAAAAGGAACGCTGAGTCCATGTGTCCACCTTGGAACAGTGTAAGAGTGGAAAGGACCATACAGGTGCCGTATGATAGCTACTGGGCTTACTAAAATACAAACCTCTGGAAAACAGAGAGTTCTGCATCCTGTGAATTACTATAATCCCAAGTATAAGAGGCATTAATTTTGCTTCTTTTCCTCGGAAATTACTCTTGTATGAAGCATTAAAACCAGACCCACTTCTCAAATAGCTTTCAGGAAGTGGTACCTTTAATAAATGGTTCTGTGTAATTCAAAGTCTGAAAGCAGAGGTGCAGAGTGAGTGACGGTTGGAGTTTTGCATGCTCTGTAACCCCCATCTCAATCACAGGAGAGTAGCTGTTCATCCGTGTTCTGTAGGAGGCTGTCTTCTCTGTGTGTGCACCCATCCTCTAGCACAAGGCCAGGCACAAAAATCACTGCCCAGTTGATATTTGTTGAGTCGGTGAAGAGTGACAGGATGTAAGTCAAAATAATTTAAACAGTGTTCAGGATTGAACATGTGCTTACTAAATATTTATTAAATTACATTGAATATGATGCTCAAAGGGAGAATCATGCCACACATTCCACAACTAAGTAGGCATTATATTTGAATTAGCAGCTGTTGGGGATTATCTGTGTGACTCCCCAGTCAGGATGCTAAATGGAGATCTTACTGCATCAGCAAACTCCTCAGACTGAGAAATGGCTCACTTCCAGTAGGCTGGCATGCTACCTTCCAACTATGCCATGCTTAATGGAAAAGCTAACGCTTACTGTGGTGTTACTATCTGATGCTGCTTAGAAATCAGTCCCCTTGACTCTTTCTGTAGCTAGCTGTGTGTGAGTGTTCACTAATTACCCTTTCCATCCTTATTCTCTTCCTTTCCTTCTCTACAAACATAAGTAATCAAAGGCAAGCATCTCAACGATACTGAAAGGTCTAGAAAGTTCAAGGACAGTGAACAGACAGGCAGCTTAGGAGAAGACATGTGACTTTATGTTTGCAATATATGATGTGTTGTCATGGTTTATCTGCTCCCTGAATTGTGTTGGACTCAACAGAATACAAACTCCAGGATCCTATTCAGTTGTTACATAGTTTCCATAAGAACTACAATGGCTTGACTTTTCCCCAGTAAACATGACACGGCATGGACATGGTCCACATTAGAAACAACCTATAGATACACACGTATACTATGTACACACACACACACACACACACACACACACACACACACACACACACAGAAAAACAAATATATACACAAATAAATTTTAAATAGCTAATTATTGAGTACCCTAAACAAAAAGTTCATTTATTTTCCATTATGACTGACAGGATTCCCCATAATAGGAGTCTCTGGTTGGGAGTCATTTTCAAAGTACACAAAATGAAATTGGCCATTTGAGAAGAATGTGATGAAACCTAGTTACAGGAGACACAGTCTGGTGGGGGTTGGGGCATGGCTGCTCCCGTAGAGACAGCACCACTTAGGTAAAGGAGACAGTTGTTTAAATAAGGACACGGTGGTGTCAGCTTGCTGATAAAGCTGCCCTGAACCAGTTGCTGGTAAATTGAAGCTGTTAAATGCTAATGAACTATCACTGTATAAGTAACCAGGAGAGAGAAAATGCTCAAGAAGTTAAAGTCTACTGCAAGGCCAATTTATCTCACAACGGGGAACACTTTTATTACAAACATAAGAAAACTTAACTTAAAATTTGAATTTTTAGTCTATTTTATTGATAAAAGTGTCGTTCCTTTATCAACAAGTCAATTTTCTCTGCTCTAGGCAGAATTTTGCAACTGCTTTGGTTGAGCCACAATAAAGGCCTTTGGATATGATCTTTTGTATTTGAACTACCTCTTGCTTGAAATTAAATTCACTCCCAAAATAGCAAGTATATCATCTCCTAACCGCTTCCCATTAGTGACAGCCTGCTGCAGAGATTAGCAGTGCAGCCTTGATTTGCCAAGTCAAAGAACCTTGTAGATAGTTCAAACTCAGACTTCACCACTCAGAAAGGGTGCTGCATGGGTATGTGTGAATATTACCGGCAGACAAAAATGAACTCTACCAGAAATGAAGGAATTGCCCTATACAGACGAAATCAAAGCCTTATGCAGACTTTGCTTTGGGATTTTATTTCCTGCAGGGCTGTAACACACTCAGCTCACTGACATTGGTGTAACTATTCTATAGAACAGATAGTAGAAATGAGTTCTCTTCAAACGCCAAGTTTATAGCAACTGAGTCTTCAGAGAAGATGAAACCTATGTGTGATATAAACTTCTTCATCAGCTGTCGTGATTGACAGGTCCATTTGGTTGGGTTTAGAGGGCAGGGAACAGAAGTAGAGCCTGACTCACAGGGCGCAGGGCTCAAGTTCGGGATTGTTTTAGACATATGAATATCCACAAGTTCTTTCTATTGTCACATTCTGCTTTCAGATCCACATGGGTAAATTTTTCACATTTGCAACCAACACTCTTTCTCGGAGTCTCAGTGAGGTCATTTTTCAAACACAATTCTATTTCCTTGGTAAAGCCTCTTCTGAGACACTAAATTTAGCGCTGCCAATCAGAGGAACAGGTGGTATGTGATACTCCCAAATCAGTCCTCCCCCATCATGCCTTCCTAAGACAGCCAATCCCGGAGCTAGGCACTGAGGATGTGGGGCTGTCAGCAGATGTGGGGAATATAAGGGGCAGCCAGCCCCTGGCTCGGGAGCAGTCGTGCATTCCCACCTCGCCTCGGGTGTAGGGATTGCATAGAAAAGCAAAACTACACAGTCCTGACTGTGTGGTTTTGTTTTGAAGGTTAGAGGCTCACTGATTCATGTCGGAGATGGTTGGAAAAACCAACCCCACATAGGACGTCGTTTCGGAAGCAACCTTGGGCTCAGTCCCACCCTTTTTAGGCACTCTTGAGCAATCAGGTGAGTGAGAACCAGCGTGTTTGAACCCTAGAGCTGTTTCTGATTGGTTTCCAGTTGCCAATGTGAGCGATGAATGCCTGCTGTTGAGGGTTTGCTCTCGCTGACCTAAAGTATGAATCTGCGTTTTAAATTTGGTTTTGAAATGTAAGCTTTCTTTAAGTAAATAAATACATCAAGTGCTTAAACCTAACCAGCGTAGTCAACAATTCAAATTTTTAACATGCGCTTGATATCCTAGACCGCGGGGTCTAAAATGGGGGCAGAAGAAATGTTCGCTTCCTTAGTAAATGTGTCTGTTGGGAATGCACAAGGTTATGTGACTCTGTGATAAAGCGAGGCTGACCAAGAATAGCTCTGAGAAAACCCATGTGGCATCAGCTGCACCCGATGACTTTTTAAGGGAATCAACTGCTGGGGTATCTGTAGCAGGGTGACAGTGGCAGACACTTGTCTGCTGTCCGTCAAGCTGAGGGTTTATTTTGGGAGCATGACATTTCAGATGAATGCCTTCGGCCCTAGGCCTCTGAAGAGCCAATGCTCAAAGAAACGAAATTCCTCTTCTTAGACAATAAGAATATCAGACCCATCTAGGCCACTTAACGCCAACAATTTATAAATTTTCAATGAAGCTATAGAATTGTTTTTCAGAAGATTCCAAATCCCATTATGCATTTTAATTCAACCCACAATCCAATTATATGGTATGAGATAAATATTAAAAAGGATAAGAAATAAAAGACTTTTCATTTCAAAATACACTTTGATTTTCCACCTTCCTGGGATTAGATTACAAATTGTAAATGCCTGTTATTAGATAAATGCATAATTATGCATTGTTTATCTTAGGAGAGAGCTATTTTTAGAAGATGCACTGGTTTGCAGGCAGGAAAAATTAGACAAAAAATGTGTTCATCCTGAAGATAATGTGCTGGAAGCAGGAGTTCCTCAGAAATGTTTCCTGAAAACTTTTGCAAGATATCTGGATTTTTCCGGGGTGTGAATTTTGTCTCAGAAAACTTTAGTTCCAGCAAAGTAGAACACCAGCAGTAAGATAATTGCCCTGTAACATCAAGGTGAACAAAAAAAAATTATGAAAAGTAATAATGAGGCAATAGACAATTCAGAAATCACCTTTTAATGCCAGAACAGTGGTCTGGTCAAGGTGAATAATTAGGTATTTATGCATAAGAAAATTTCTCACATAATCTCCAAAAATGATAGACGAATACTTTCTTCCACTTAGAAAAGGACTTAACTGCAAATTTTACACTCATTTCTTTGTTGACTATTTCACATAATAAAGCACAGGGTTTTTATCCCGGTGAACATTCCCCACCAGCCTTCCATTATTCAGTTTGGACACTGCTCTGGGTTAACTCAAGTCAGCGCTTTTATTTCAGATCTATAATGAATTGGGGCCTATTAAATAATTTTCCCCCAGACGATTACTTCAGCAATATTAATTGTGCTGTTGCATACAATGCACAGAAATGCTAGGACATTGAGAGCCTGCTATACTGTTGAAAAATAAAAAAGCTTATGGGTATGAAAATACTTGCCAACACTTTTCCAATTAGTGAAGGAAAGGCTTGCAGAGCGCAGATTTTCTTAGTTGGGTGGTGATTCTAAGTAATGGGACCTAGCCTAGAGCAAAGTCACCTCATGAAACATCGGCACACTGGTGAGAATTCTCGGGGAAGAGACTGTTTTTATGACTTGTCTCTTACATGCTGTGTTGAAGCGAAGGTTCATTGGTCACAGTTTGGTTTTTCCGGTCCCCTTTCTCCCAACCTGATTCTCCATTTGTGGGAGGACTGAATGTTCCTGCTTTGACCACTAGGGGGTGTTCATTGCTCAGCTTGGCTTCCCTCCCACCAACCCCAACCCCGATCCCCTCAAAGGTCAACATCGTATGCTTCTAGGGCCATGTATGCCTAGGGAAATCCATTTGGAGAAATACATGTCTTTGTCTCCACCAAGTAGCTGCTGAGGAGGCCTGAGGAGCCCCGTTTTCACTGGTTTTCCTTTTGCTTTTCAGAGTGCCTAAAAAGATGACTACTCAAGCACCGACGTTTACGCAGCCGTTACAAAGCGTTGTGGTACTGGAGGGTAGTACCGCAACCTTTGAGGCTCACGTTAGTGGTAAGCCCATGTGTACGCTCTATCTGTACCACCTGCCTCCCCCAGTACACTCTTTTTTTCTTTTTGTAGGCCTTGAAACCAAGTTTAAACTCTGCTTTTACTACGTAAAATTGGCACCACACCATGGAAAGGTCATTTTAAGGGCATACCGTTCGCAGGATGCTGACAATATAATGACTAGAAAATGTTTTATTCATATTTATAATTCCACAAAGCAAAAATAATTAGCATTAGATTAAAATTTGCTGTCAGAATCTAGCAACTATGTAGGACCAAATTTGGTCATTCTATATTTGGGTTCAGCTGCAGAGCCAACGTGACAGACAAGAACCCCCTTGTGCTGTGGAGTTCAGTGACAGAGCTTCTGGGCAGGTAGTCTGCGCCTCAATTCAGTTGTTTTATATAGAAAAAAAAAGAAAACACTTCATCCAACTTTCCATCAGTGCATGCACAGTGACTACTCAAGATAATTATTTTACTGGGTTCTTCATCTTAATTAAATTATTCTAGTAAAGTAAAGATCTCCCTTTTGCAATTAATGGCAAAGCATAATGCTGTCTGCCCTTTCAGTCTTTATATTCAAAGGGTACAAACATTTTCCCTAGAATTTTATTTAAAAGGAATTTCACCCAGTTCTTTTTTGCCTCTTCATCACTTGGTTTAGGGATGATCTAAGACTGTGCATGATTTACGGCAAGTGAGGGAGAGCTGTCTATAAACTATATTGTAAATAATTTCAAAACAATTTAATCAATCTGTCCCCTTCTAGAGTGTAATAACTGGTCATGTAAGATTATATTATTAAATGAGAACTAGGACTAGTTCATCATTCAATGCATCCCTGTGGTGAATTCATTTTTTTCTCTTTGTTTTTTTTTTAATTGTTGTTCGTTTTTGTTTTTTGTTTTTATGTATGACTTGCAATAAAGATAAAAACTGAAGTTTCCTTTTCATTTCCTTTTTTGTATTATGTATGAGTCTTACATAACTGTCTAACACTTTGCAAAAAAATCATAACATCGCTCATTTGCTATTGATGGAACTCAATTCAGTTCTCCTTTTGCATGATGAACTCTCAAATACCTAACTTATTTTTCTTCACATCCTCTGTTACTTCTAAACTGAGCAGAACACATATGAAGTCTGTGGGAATTTGCCTCTTGGTGCAGTAGTGGGAGCTGGCATCTTCATAGCTTCACATTCCTTCTCATTATGTGCCTTTAAGTTCTTAGAAATACATCACAGACCATGTTTGACACCCACAAATTAGTCTAATAAACTCTTCACTCTCCTATAATGGGAGGTTGGCTCGTGCAAGGACAACACAGTGAACATTCTATTATCATCCAGGAGCACAGTCACAAGCATTTACATCTGATGCACAGTAAACATTCCCTGAAGTAGCCTTCCAACCTCCGAACACACTAGACTTTAATAGAACATGAAACCAGTGATACGGTTCTTCACAGTAAGTGAAGAGAATCTGGCTTTCCTCTTCCTGCTCCAACCTGACCTGCTCTTCTGGAAGACTGGGTTTGGCTCTGGAATTAACACGAGGAACAGCCTGTCCATGTGAGGGCATTTTTGCTGCAGTCACATTTGCAAGGACATTCTGGACAGTGTCCCCAAAACTGTAGAGGAGGGAGGCAAGCATGGCCTCCTGAGGCAGAGCTGCAGGATGGCTCTGCCGCCCCTCGTCCTCGTGTTTTCAGAGACGACAATGGTCACTTTTCAAAGCTTTGGCAGCTTCTGTGCTTCAGAACCCTCTCAGTATTTTAATAATGTCTACTAACTAACTTGCATCAGATGCAGCCCTGACTAGAGGGTAGACGATGAAAGTGCTACCCCTCTTTGTGCCGCTGATGGCTGAGAGACCTTGGAGAAATGATGATGCTTCAATCATCTCAGACCCCAACTCCATAAAATAAACATCAACTGCCAGCCCTTCCTAATGCTCTGCAATTGTACATTTCCATCATGTGACTGCCATGCTGCCGCTATCACTAAATGGGGTTCCACTCTGGCTAGCTTGGACAGGCTAGTGCAAAGCCTTGCAATGATGGGAAAGGACAGAGCACTGGACCGTGTCCACTCCAACATAAATATGACTGCTTGCCTTCCAGGTTCCCCAGTTCCTGAGGTGAGCTGGTTTCGGGATGGCCAGGTGATTTCAACTTCCACTCTGCCCGGCGTGCAGATCACTTTTAGCGATGGCCGCGCTAAATTGATGATCCCCGCCGTGACTAAAGCCAACAGTGGACGATACTCCCTGAGAGCCACCAATGGATCTGGACAAGCAACCAGCACTGCTGAGCTTCTTGTGACAGGTAGGGACCAGCCTGTCTTCAGCCAGGATGGAGGGAGTCCAGATAGAGTTTATGCCCACTAGGGAGGCAGCTCCCAAACTGGAGAAGGAGCTGTGGGATGGATGTACATGATTGTGTGGGTTGTGCGATTTAGTCCTCTTTGAGGATGAATCATAAAGCAGATGAGACACAGTGTCTCTGTACATATCACACACTACAAGTATATTGAAGAAACACTAAAGATCATGTTCCTCAGCAGGTAGATGAGAGTTTAGAGCCTTATCAATGAGGAATAGGAAGAGGGAAGATTCCAGAAATCACTGGGGATTTCCACTTTAACAAGCATTGCCATAATTCTGATGAAGGTGGTCCACAAGTTAGCATTGAAAATACTACACAGCAAACCTACTCAGAAAAGGGCAAATGCTTGTTATTCAAGTATATGATGCCACTTGCCCATAAAGTCATTTCCAAGGGCCTTGGTAGATTTTGCCCATCCTTCAGTACTTAATATGATAAAGAAACAATAAGAACAAGAGTTATTCTGTTTATTACATACCAGTGTCTTGTATGAACTCTTATGTTTGTTCCTGATGTCTAATTCCATGGTCACAAATGACCTAAATAGAAAGCACAGCAGATTGCTTAGGGAGGAGCTCTAGTGTGCACTCAGAAAATTCAGAACTGGAAGGAATACGGTCACTTAGAAACACACGAGTTCACCCGACATTCTATCGCGGATGCTGGAATGCACGTACAGTGACACCCTTCCCTGGGGGCGGGAGTACTGGCGCTTAATGGTCGTTGGAGGAAAAAGCATCCCTTTCTCCAGTGGTATGGCCGCTGGCAAGATGCTCTGGCTCATTACATAACCTCCCACCCAGGCTTGGGCCAGAAACCCCAATTAAAGTCAGTGGGTCCCTCACAAACAGAAGACATGTAAGTGGGAGGGGCTTGTTGGGAAGAAGGCCTGCAGTGAAAGAGGGAGGAGGTGGGAGAAGGGAATAGGAGGTTAAAAACAACTAGGATTCATTGTAAAATGTCTGAAATTGACAAACAATAACAAAAAAAAAGAAAGAGAGAAAGAAAGAAAGAAAGAAAGAAAGAAAGAAAGAAAGAAAGAAAGAAAGAAAGAAAGAAAGAAAAAGAAAAAATTTTTCTTTTAATATATTTTAACCAAGAAAGACTTCTTTCTTTCTGTAGCACAGTTGGCATGAAAGCCCGCCACTGTTGGAGCTAACATTTTTAAAGCAAGTAAATATTTTGGTCCTTTTACTGTCGATCTTGTAGGAGGAATTTTTAAAATCAAATTAAACTTCCACGATTTCCTAAGTCACGGGTGCACTCATTTTACCAAACACTGGAATTCACGTCAGTGCAGTTTCAGTCATATACAAAACTACCTTAGCATGTTAACAAAAGGCAGGATTCAAGCGCTGAAGTGCCAGAAAGGTCTAGAACAGTGCAGCAAAATCTAGGCTTTTTGGTCAAATATTAAGTGCTAGAGCGATAGTTTATTGGTTAAGAGGCTTTCTGCTCTTACAGAGGACCAGGGCATGGCTCCAGTACCCACATGCTGGTTCATAACTGCCTGTAACTCCAGTTGTAGGGTATCTGACATCCTCTTCTGGCCTCTGTGGGCCCCTGCACACATATGGTACACATAGCCTCATTCAAATGCACATATACATGAATTAAAAAATTTAAAAACTAAATATAGTAACTTACAACTGCTAAGGACAGCAAAGCAATTAAATACGAGCAGGGGCGCCTTCTGTTCCTGGGGCATTCTCGCTATCACTCGCTTGGGGGAGCTGGGGTTCAAGGACAGCCAAGGGCGCTGGATTGGTGAGTCAATCCCTGCGTTGGGACTCAGGGCTATGACTGTTTAAAAATACCTTGTTGGGGGCACCCTGACTCCTGGGCCTGATTTCCGTCTCTGCCCGTGGCAGCGGAGACAGCACCACCCAACTTCGCTCAGCGGCTGCAGAGCATGACTGTGAGACAAGGGAGCCAAGTGCGGCTCCAAGTGAGAGTGACTGGAATCCCTACACCTGTGGTGAAGTTCTACCGGGACGGAGCCGAAATCCAGAGCTCCCTTGATTTCCAAATTTCTCAAGAAGGCGACCTCTACAGCTTACTGATTGCGGAAGCATATCCTGAAGACTCCGGGACCTATTCCGTCAATGCCACCAACAGCGTGGGAAGAGCTACTTCCACCGCAGAATTGCTGGTTCAAGGTGAGTGACAGAGGCTAAGAAGGAGAACGGGGCAGGGCTAGGAGGGGGCCTGTGGGGCCAGAAGTCCCCCTGGCTCCCCCAGACAGCAGCCCCGAGGGTCTGAGCAGGAGCTCAGATCAAAGCTGCCTTTTTACCCCCAGAAGAAGAAGGTCTCTGGGGTCCTAGGCAAGAGTTCAGTGTTGAAGCCCACTGCAGTTATTGACCCAGGATGAGAAACAGAGCACATATCAATTAAGTGATGTACCTCTGCATGTTGTTGGCAAACAATGGGATATTTAAATAAGTAACCTAAGGAAATTACTTTCTAATACATGTTTTCTATTTTTAAATCTAATTTATATTCACATGAAAGCCACAGCTTGCTACAATTCCCCTTCTATCACACACAGGAAATTGTGCGAAGAATCATGGTTTTCCCTCCTAAACATCTTTGCATTTCCACAGGTGAAGACGTAGTACCTGCTAAAAAGACGAAGACAATCGTTTCGACTGCTCAGATTTCAGAAACAAGACAAACCCGGATTGAAAAGGTAATTTTCCTCTAAAACAGTCCCCAGGCCGTACAGGTTGTTGCTTCCCCGGCTTTTCTCACTCACCATGACCACTGTTTTCGTCATTTTCAGAAAATTGAAGCCCACTTTGATGCCAGATCAATTGCAACAGTTGAGATGGTCATAGATGGTGCCAGTGGACAGCTGCCGCATAAAACACCTCCCAGGATACCTCCTAAACCAAAGTCAAGGTCTCCAACACCACCTTCCATTGCTGCCAAGACACAGCTGGCCCGACAGCAGTCCCCATCACCAATAAGACACTCCCCCTCTCCGGTCAGACACGTGCGGGCACCGACCCCATCTCCAGTCAGGTAAACCTTCTCTCAGAAGAATGTGTTACTCACGAATTTTAATAATAAATTATGCAACCAGAAGAGCAGCATATGATAAAGTAGACCAAGTCCTGGAATGTAGCCTTTACCATCCTCGCCTTCTGTGTGTTAATTGAAGACGTTCATAAACTCAGGTTCTGAATTCTTATTTTCAGTCTATTCAACAAATACACACTTTTGGAGGCAAAATATAACAAGGGGAGGTAAGAATTATGCAGAACTTAGAGTTAAATCTTTCCAAAGCCAATCACCCAGACTACAGTTTGATTTACAGGGAACTAGTTATAAGAACCACTACAATAAATGGTTCACCACCTCGGTGTCCAGCTTTTCATATGTTATCTCGTTAAATATTCACGACCCTGAAGAAACATGATTCCCAATAGTTTGGCAAGAAACTAGCACTAAAGAAGTTAAGAGGCTTTTCCAAAGTCTTAGTTGTACCCTCTGTAAAATAAAGGGATTCGCAGCCAGAATGATTTGAAGTGTTTTGTAAGAATCAATGAACTTATTAGTTGAAGGTGTCCCTTGAAAACAGAAAATCATTATTCAGATGCTCATACTCTCAAATAATAAGCAAAACCTTCTAAATATTTTCCGTATGTTTGTTATTTTATCAAAAAGTAAAGTGGATTTCTACTCTTAGCAAAAATGTAGGGATTTTATGAGGCGAGCCTTATCATCAGTGTTCAGAAATTATACAATCAAACACAATTTTACCCACAGCCACTGAAACTTTGCAAGTTAGTCTATAATGAGGCTTTTGATATGATGAGCTGAAAATGCTACAAAATTTGAGCGCGCGCGCACACACACACACACACACACACACACACACACACACACAAAGTGTATTTTAATCAATTCAAATGAAGTTTAAGAAATCCACAAGATCAAGTCCTTGCTAAGAAATCTAAAGTGGAATAATGAGATAGTTGACCTAAAAAAAATCCAAATTCACTGTAAAGTTACCACTATCAAAATAACATGGTTGGTGGGTCTGAGGTTCAGCCTCATGGAAAAATGCCTGTTCGGCATGTGTGAGGACCTGTGTTCGATGCCCAGCAGTGAAAAGGAGGCGTGACTAGAACACCACATCCAGGACACAGACCAGCTGGTACAGAAATGGACTGACATATACAGGGAATTGTTTTGTTTTTTTTTTAATCAAGGTGAAGGATATTTTACTTCACAAATAAGGCTGTTCTAACTAGCTGTCTGTTAGGAAGAAAGCAAATCCAGGCTTCTACCTCATATCATTTACAAACTAAGTGGCAGTTTGATTACAATTTTAAATTAAAAAATTAAAGGGAAGCCCACAAGCCCACACAAAGGGACTCACCACCCACCTGGGCTACCTGAGTTTAATCCTTGGGACCACATTGGCAGACAGAAGATACTGAACTCCAGAAGCTGCCTTCTAACCACCACTACAGCATGTTTGTACCCACCCCTGACATACACACAAATGCACACGCACACATGCACACAAGTAAATAAATAAGCATGTGCTAAAAGTTAAAGGCTAGAAGAAATGTTTATGGGGAGAGCTTTTAAAAATAGGTTTTTATACCCATAGTAAAAATTAAAACATCTCTGTGGCGAAAAGGCAAGATCATTGTTAGACTAAATAGTACAATTATGTGAGAAAAAAAATGGCATGCTCCTTTCTAAAGATGCTCATTGTTGCTGCTGGTAAGTATCATAAAGAGTACCAATGAGCTCCGTTGTGAACCACACCAGTCTAGAAACAGTCAGCTAGGGTTACACTAACCAAGACCTTGGAGAGCATCAAAACGCAGGTAGCTCTAGAGGGAAAGGGGAGGAGGGGACTTACAAGAAAGAACAGGAAATACAGAGAATGCAAACTGCAGGATGCATTTAAGAGCTCCACCAATTAACTTCTAAAGGAAGAGAAATCATGCAGAACAAACTTTAAAATGTAGGGAATGATGTGACTTTCCAATAAACATATTATAACATGGTAAGTATCTTCTAAGTTTTATTTTGGCCACTTAAAAATAATTGAAGATCTTTCGCCAGAACTAACAGGAAAACTTACAAAAAAGCTCAGTTAAAAAAGATATCCATCATTTTTTTTAATGAGTTTAATCTCAGCTGTCTACAGGTTTGTGTACCATGAAATCACTCACAACACAGGCCAAATGTATTCTCTGAGAGATAACAGCCTTCCTCCATTTTAAATTCAAGCCCAAGGGTCATTTAGAATTACAGACATTTCCTGACCCCCCTGGAACACAGTGGCCATCTTAGCCTTCTGAGAGTTCATTAGTAGGGATCCAGTTAGTTAGTCTGCAAAATTTGCTTTAAAATAATTACAAAATATAAATACCAGCTTGTAAAGAAAATAATGGTTATCCCAGATAGACTCCTTCCTAAAAAGTCCCATGGCTTACTTTTGATTTTTGTTGTAGATAAAGCAAACGCATTTTACTGGATGAGGTGCATTGTAGCTAGCTGTGAACAGTGATTT